CCTCTTAGGCATCAGGTTCGCTGCAGACCCCCTATCAATCATGATGTGATTGATTGGACATGCATGCAGCTCGCACGATACGAACAACGAGCGGTTGTGTGGCCTCCCTGAGTTGCAAATCATCATCAAAGAATGTAATAGTCATATAATTGTAGAGTATGTTAGGGTCCACTTCAACCCATTCGACCTCTGTTTCATACACTACGGGGCTGGAAAGCGCTTGAACCAAAGTCATTCGAAGATCTTTAGACAGCATAAGGGTGTCGTAGATGCTTAAGAGTGCAAGGAGTTTCCTCAGATGCCCAATTACATCATATTTGACTTTATCGGTATCGGGTAGGGCGGCCTCCCGGTGTTCCCTTGCCTTGGGGGAAGGTGACGCTAGGATGGCCCCTGACAGAGGGGGTTCGGGGGTTCACCCCAGACATCGAGGAGACGATGATTCACCTAGTAGTCTCTAATGGGGGAGTTTGGCTGCACTACGCGATTGGAGGAGGCGTAGAGGGTGACCCCCCGGTGTTCCCTCGTCTTGGGGGGGAGGTGCCGCTGGGACGGCCCCAGACCGAGTGGGGTTCACCCCTGACGTTGAGGAGACGATGATTCCCCTAGCAGTCTCTAATGGGGGATTTTGGCTAGACTGCGCAAGTGGAGGAGGCGTGGTGGGAGTGGGGGAGCACCGAAGCTCCGCAGGCATGGTTGCTAGGAAGGGGATGGTCGTTGTGACAGCCTGAGGGGCTAGGGGCTCCTGAGGCTGTTTTGGGAGAGAAGTGAACTCCACACGGGGGTGGGCTGACTAGTGGCATGGGATCGACGGTGGCCCAGGGTATTTTAAGGTTTTTGATGGAGGGGGTCTCCGATCGAACGTTAGCCTCCTTCCCGATCGAAGATGCATCCGGCCCACTTGGGTTGTTTCGCATCCTGGTCAGCATGTGGCACACCTCGAGATTGAGGGAGAAGGCTCGACCAAACTTAGCCTCTGCCCCGTTTCGATCAGGCGCGAGGGGCTGTGAACCTTGCATTGATGTTGTCTTTAACACTTGAGGATCTCGGGGGTGTGCCTTGAGTCGATCGGGCTCTAGACGGCCTTGGGGCCCTGGATTGGTCGTGCAAGGCAACGCACTTCGTGCCCTAGCTGTGCAACAATGAGCGGTGTTGCAGGCCTTGTCCTTCTCCACACCACATGACGGCTCAGATCTGCTATGCTTCGGGCGGCTCTTTGAGGCGGTGGCCCCTACCTTCCGCTGTGAGGACAAGACTTCCATACGCCCCGCTTGTCTGTTGTGTAGGTCGCGATGGACCTTCTTCCATAACAAAAAGCCGCTCTTATCTCCTTCCTTCTTAGCCCACTCGACCAACACATGGGAGGAGCGGATCAAATCAGGCATGATGAGATACACGAGAAGGGGGAGTTTCGGGGGTGACGCCCTGTCTTTTCGAGCCTTGCGTCGGGAGTCAACTCACGTTCGCACATGGTGGGGAGCGGTGAGGATGGTGCTCGGAGGGAACTTCTTTGAGTACCATGCAGTAAGTGGTACAATAGTGGTAAGCGTAGTGATGGATGCTCGTCCCCTCCCATAGCCGGCATGACCCACAGTAATATTTGGGATGGCTGCAAGGCATGTCCCTTGTGTGGTGAGGGGCGGAGTAAGTGTGTCGTCCGCCCGTTTAGCTGGTGAGGCCGTAGGGCCTCCTGTATGCGTGTGTGCTTGCTTGGAGAACTTTTGATCGTCTCGAAAGTCACGTGTCGGTTGGAGGCCGGCATTTGGGCTGCCCCAAGCTGTGGAACAATCATGCATGATGCAGGTGTCATCGGAGCCACCAGTACCGCGTCCAGGCCAAGAGCGACCTGAAATGATTTGAGGGACCGGGTTAGGCTGCCGCCTGTTTCGATTCATTATTATGGTGGTTAGGCCGCCAGGAAGTTTATAGACATAGGCATGCACTGTGGAGTGACCGCGCAGGCTGACATGGTAATTGTCAGTAGGTGGTATGTGCGCGAGGGTGCCAATGTTGGCGATGCCCCTTTGTGAAGTAGGCGGGTGGCCTTTTGGCTACCCGCAACAATGGCAGCCCTGTCAGGACCGACTGAGTGAGGAGGAGTGGCAGCACGGGGGCCGTTGTGGGATCTTTGGCTGACGGAGTGCCCACCATCAACAAAGTGTTTTAGTGAGGGGGCGGCAGTAGAGTCGCCCATGCAGTGGGCATTAAGGGGTCCCCCGTTAACGCTGAAATAGGTGGGGCAAGGGGCCTAAGGGTCCGTGCCCCGAACCTTCCCAATCGAGGCCAAGATAGTTGGGCCAACGTGACTGCAAAGAGGTCATGCAAGGGAGGGAGGACCGAACAGTCTAGCCTCCCCTGGAGTGGATGCAGGTATGGGAATGTAGAACTCCCCAACCCAAAGGAAGGAGGGATATGAGAATCCCATAGCAAAAGTGGAGGGAGGAGAAAGAGAGATTAGTACCTGGAGACGGCTCGAGTCAACGATAGGGTGACGTGTCCCCAGAGAAATCGTCAGTTGATGTCGGTGGGGTCCTGGTTTCCCTTCGCGCGTGGGTGAGGAAACCCTCTCTCGAACAACCACGGAGGTCTGGCACACGATAGACACGTGGGCCCTCTTGCTTGTGGATCGAAGGCCGACAATGAGAAAGATTTTTGCGACTGGAGCGTGAATGCTCTTACACCGCTTTGGGGTTTCGGGGACACACCCAGGCGGATAGTCCTCTTAGAGAAATTACGAAGCCCTCTAGTTGTTTGTCAGCACGGTGGGGATAGGAGCCATCTCCTGTGAACCTCTCTCCTCTCACTCTCACTATGTTATCGAGATAGGATCCTAATATCCCTCCTCCTTGGTTGTCCTTTTATAAGGATTTGCTGGCCTTTAAAGGGGGCGTGGTAAAAGCTGAAGGCGAAGGCCCGTAGGTTAGCTCACGTTCGCAGACTCACGGACGGACGTGGACTGCCATGTGGGTAGGATCACAAGCACGGAGGCCGGAGTGTGTGTGTGTGAGAGAGAGAGAGAGAGAGAGAGAGAGAGAGAGAGAGAGAGGTAGGGAGGGGAAGAAAGACTCGAGACGTAGGAGGTAGGGTGGGGTACGACGTGCGTCGTCGGTGGGTACGTCGGTACGGACCTACACGTCGTCGGTACCC